CCCCCCCCCCCATTTATATGTCATATTGTCTTATAGGACATAACATTGATCCATAGAATGTCAGTGTTCCCATATTACAGCTTTGTACATTACGATGTTCATATGTGAACGGCACATAACTGGCAGTAGGACAAAGCGGCAGACAACAATGACAACGGTGGAACGGCTGAAGAAACCCGTTCATCCTACAGACCTGCACTCTTCTACACCCATCGCCACGCCCAGTTGGGAGTACTCCACAGAGGTTGTATCCATGACGATGTCTGCCAAGCCAACGCTGGCCATCTTGTTGTCGTAGACAGTTTGGATCATGATGGCTTCCACATTCTGGAGGGTCATCAGCAGGTCCTCCCGGGTCACAGCCCTTCCAGATTCATGTTGCCAATTCTCCTGCCGAGGCCAAATGAGAGACGGACATCTTGATGACACACTCAGGAGAAGATCGGAATCTGCTATTCATCATCATCATAGACTAACACAGGAAGACATTAGACTTTTGTGCATCGCCGCCCCCATCACAGGAAGGTTTTCCAGCAAAATCAGTGAAGAATCATCTTCCAAGAAAGATGGAAACAAACTCAATTCCACAATTTCAGAGAAGAGCCGAGAGGACCAGAGAGGGGCGGGTACGAGGGAGACATCATCAGGTGCTCCGCGCTGAATGCCGATCTATCGGGTAATGCCGATAGGAAATGCCATGGGGAGTAAGACCTACCCAGCAGATGTCATGGGAACCGGTCACGTCCGCCAACATAACGGGCAACGCGCGGCCAATACTAAATCTTATCTACAAGTCGGCTGTTTATTTCTGGGAATGTCAGGGTCACAGAAGTCATCAGAGGTTCTAGCACCTAACAGCAGAGGGCGGGGCTTATTCTCAACATAGAAAGAAGTCCTGGTCCCGTGTGCAGCCTCGGATCCATCTCCAGGCACTGAGGAAGCCGTCACAGGGGCTATATGGTGCCATTACTTTATTACTATTGCCAATTGACCCATTTTGGTGGATGTGACAGGTAGGGTCATATCAGGGTTAGGGATATGTGACACATACATGACACTGTCATACCTGGACTAAGGTCTGGAGGGGACATCACACCGTGACCACAGCTGGCATTTTGAGCTCATTGATAGAGAATTGTGACATTTGTGTTATAGAGTGTGATACATAAGAGTAGCAATGGTGGAAACTCTCACCTCGGTGAATTGGATCGCCCGCTGGTTGACAACAGATGGCTGGGTGAATGACTGGACCCGATAGATCAGTCTCTGTCCATTTCCTACCAGAATGACGTCTGGCTTTCTCACTGGCTCCGACTGGCCTCTGGTGAGACCATAGCGGACTTTATAGCTGAGGGAACCTCCATAGGAGTCCACCTGATCAGAGAAGACACAGCTCATTGGTCAAACATTAAACCAAAAAATCCATCTAATCCTTTATCTGGATCGGTGAGACGTTACCTTGTCCCCCAGGAACTGAAATGGGAGCGTCCAGTAGGAATCATGACTCAGGAACCTTCGAGAAAGATCGACGAGCTGAAACTCCCCAAACGTTGTGTCAATCTGGAGCTGATTAGATGAGAGGGGAGGGAAGCCCTGCGGGGAGGTCACATTCACACCTACAACAGATGGACAGAGAGGTACATGAGCCGGGTATGTCCTGAGATGTGGCTACATACTGAGCTCTGACTGATGGAGGACCGGGAGGTACATGGGCCGGGAATTTCCTGAGATGTATCTACATACTGAGACCTGACTGATGGAGGACCGGGAGGTACATGGGCCGGGAATTTCCTGAGATGTATCTACATACTGAGACCTGACTGATGGAGGACCGGGAGGTACATGGGCCGGGAATTTCCTGAGATGTATCTACATACTGAGACCTGACTGATGGAGGACCGGGAGGTACATGGGCCGGGAATTTCCTGAGATGTATCTACATACTGAGACCTGACTGATGGAGGACCGGGAGGTACATGGGCCGGGAATTTCCTGAGATGTATCTACATACTGAGACCTGACTGATGGAGGACCGGGAGGTACATGGGCCGGGAATTTCCTGAGATGTATCTACATACTGAGACCTGACTGATGGAGGACCGGGAGGTACATGGGCCGGGAATTTCCTGAGATGTATCTACATACTGAGACCTGACTGATGGAGGACCGGGAGGTACATGGGCCGGGAATTTCCTGAGATGTATCTACATACTGAGACCTGACTGATGGAGGACCGGGAGGTACATGGGCCGGGAATTTCCTGAGATGTATCTACATACTGAGACCTGACTGATGGAGGACCGGGAGGTACATGGGCCGGGAATTTCCTGAGATGTATCTACATACTGAGACCTGACTGATGGAGGACCGGGAGGTACATGGGCCGGGAATTTCCTGAGATGTATCTACATACTGAGACCTGACTGATGGAGGACCGGGAGGTACATGGGCCGGGAATTTCCTGAGATGTATCTACATACTGAGACCTGACTGATGGAGGACCGGGAGGTACATGGGCCGGGAATTTCCTGAGATGTATCTACATACTGAGACCTGACTGATGGAGGACCGGGAGGTACATGGGCCGGGAATTTCCTGAGATGTATCTACATACTGAGACCTGACTGATGGAGGACCGGGAGGTACATGGGCCGGGAATTTCCTGAGATGTATCTACATACTGAGACCTGACTGATGGAGGACCGGGAGGTACATGGGCCGGGAATTTCCTGAGATGTATCTACATACTGAGACCTGACTGATGGAGGACCGGGAGGTACATGGGCCGGGAATTTCCTGAGATGTATCTACATACTGAGACCTGACTGATGGAGGACCGGGAGGTACATGGGCCGGGAATTTCCTGAGATGTATCTACATACTGAGACCTGACTGATGGAGGACCGGGAGGTACATGGGCCGGGAATTTCCTGAGATGTATCTACATACTGAGACCTGACTGATGGAGGACCGGGAGGTACATGGGCCGGGAATTTCCTGAGATGTATCTACATACTGAGACCTGACTGATGGAGGACCGGGAGGTACATGGGCCGGGAATTTCCTGAGATGTATCTACATACTGAGACCTGACTGATGGAGGACCGGGAGGTACATGGGCCGGGAATTTCCTGAGATGTATCTACATACTGAGACCTGACTGATGGAGGACCGGGAGGTACATGGGCCGGGAATTTCCTGAGATGTATCTACATACTGAGACCTGACTGATGGAGGACCGGGAGGTACATGGGCCGGGAATTTCCTGAGATGTATCTACATACTGAGACCTGACTGATGGAGGACCGGGAGGTACATGGGCCGGGAATTTCCTGAGATGTATCTACATACTGAGACCTGACTGATGGAGGACCGGGAGGTACATGGGCCGGGAATTTCCTGAGATGTATCTACATACTGAGACCTGACTGATGGAGGACCGGGAGGTACATGGGCCGGGAATTTCCTGAGATGTATCTACATACTGAGACCTGACTGATGGAGGACCGGGAGGTACATGGGCCGGGAATTTCCTGAGATGTATCTACATACTGAGACCTGACTGATGGAGGACCGGGAGGTACATGGGCCGGGAATTTCCTGAGATGTATCTACATACTGAGACCTGACTGATGGAGGACCGGGAGGTACATGGGCCGGGAATTTCCTGAGATGTATCTACATACTGAGACCTGACTGATGGAGGACCGGGAGGTACATGGGCCGGGAATTTCCTGAGATGTATCTACATACTGAGACCTGACTGATGGAGGACCGGGAGGTACATGGGCCGGGAATTTCCTGAGATGTATCTACATACTGAGACCTGACTGATGGAGGACCGGGAGGTACATGGGCCGGGAATTTCCTGAGATGTATCTACATACTGAGACCTGACTGATGGAGGACCGGGAGGTACATGGGCCGGGAATTTCCTGAGATGTATCTACATACTGAGACCTGACTGATGGAGGACCGGGAGGTACATGGGCCGGGAATTTCCTGAGATGTATCTACATACTGAGACCTGACTGATGGAGGACCGGGAGGTACATGGGCCGGGAATTTCCTGAGATGTATCTACATACTGAGACCTGACTGATGGAGGACCGGGAGGTACATGGGCCGGGAATTTCCTGAGATGTATCTACATACTGAGACCTGACTGATGGAGGACCGGGAGGTACATGGGCCGGGAATTTCCTGAGATGTATCTACATACTGAGACCTGACTGATGGAGGACCGGGAGGTACATGGGCCGGGAATTTCCTGAGATGTATCTACATACTGAGACCTGACTGATGGAGGACCGGGAGGTACATGGGCCGGGAATTTCCTGAGATGTATCTACATACTGAGACCTGACTGATGGAGGACCGGGAGGTACATGGGCCGGGAATTTCCTGAGATGTATCTACATACTGAGACCTGACTGATGGAGGACCGGGAGGTACATGGGCCGGGAATTTCCTGAGATGTATCTACATACTGAGACCTGACTGATGGAGGACCGGGAGGTACATGGGCCGGGAATTTCCTGAGATGTATCTACATACTGAGACCTGACTGATGGAGGACCGGGAGGTACATGGGCCGGGAATTTCCTGAGATGTATCTACATACTGAGACCTGACTGATGGAGGACAGAGAGGTACATGAGCCGGGTATTTCCTGAGATGTGTCTACATACTGAGCTCTGACTGATGGAGGACAGAGAGGTACATGGGCCGGGTATGTCCTGAGATGTGTCTACATACTGAGCCCTGACTGATGGAGGACAGAGAGGTACATGGGCCGGGGATGTCCTGAGATGTGGCTACATACTGAGCTCTGACTGTTGGAGGACAGAGAGGTACATGGGCCGGGTATGTCCTGAGATGTGGCTACATACTGAGCTCTGACTGTTGGAGGACAGAGAGGTACATGGGCCGGGAGATGTGTCTACAAAGAGTTCGCTGTCTGATATGTCACATGTCTGGACCTCTCTAGACTGATCTAATGGTCACAATATACAATGTGTCTGTAGGTTTGGTGGAGGTTTGGTGGAAGACAAAGGTACATAGATAGAAGTCCATCGAGTTCAACCAATAACCTGTTACCTTTAAATTCACCGTCAGTGTCAAAGCTAAGTCTGATCTGGTTTCGGTAGCGTCCCGTCTGGTGGCACATCTTGGTAACACCAAAACAAAAGCAGGGAATGCACCTGGAGGTGGAGTCCACGTGGAAGAAGCCCTCAGAACAAGGACCTGGAAATAAAGCATTGATCATTGGTCACAGTCCAATATGTGGCATCAATATCCTATAAAACGAAAGCTATATTATATTCACAGTGACATGAAGAGAGAATCTCGGCAATAGATCGGGGGAGGGTTAGAACCTCTGGCTGACTTTTATTGCCATCTGTGGGGATGATTCCCAGAGACTGTCCAGGAATTGAAAAAATCCCCTGATGAGGATACAGATGATAATCTTTTAGAAGGTCTAACCGTTCCCCGCTCCTCCTTGAAGGCTGTATGGGTTCTACAACAAATGTGGACTTTGCTCCACCTATGAAGCGCAAGCCTTCTGTTCAGCCCTTTGCACACAGGACATTCAGCATGGACTCGGAGCGTGCTGCTGTGTGCAGAGTTCATGTCATTGTGATCTCATTGGATAAGGCAGACACAAATGTTTTGATTCTCTTCTCCATAGATTGTCCAACAATACCTCTGGATGGCTTCAGGGACAGAATGCCGTCAGGAATACCGAACACCATGCCCTTTGCGTTGATGGCCTCACACGTGTACGCTCCCTGATCGGCCTCTTTCACATCCCTAATGATGAGCGTTCCATGTCCGTTCTCGCTGCTCATGGTGACCCTGTGAGGGACAGAGATGGAATGTGACGCTCACTGATGTAGCATAGCAACAATAGTGACGTGTTCTTCCCACTGCGAAGGTCCTACCTGCTGCTGGTGGGAATGTGGCCCCAGTTCAGCCTCCAGGTGATGATGGGAATCGGGATTCCGATGGCCACGCAGGTAAAGCGTACTGTGTCACCCCGGGAGGCGACAATACTCTCCTCTGGTGGAGTGATCACCTGGGGAGGATCTGACACAAACACCAATTACAAAAAGGTTAAAAACAATGGAGGACATCCGATATCTACAAAGACATTTACAATGGACGGGAATCCCACAAATGACAGTTCAGTGATTTGTGCTGCTGAATTCTGTTGTTGTGATGCAGAGATGGGAATCTGACGCAGGATGGCCTGATAGCTTAATTGAGGACAAGTATGGATTAGAAAGAGTTAACTTGGTGTTAGGGGTTCAGATGAATGGCTGAGCAAAAGACAGGGTCAGAGGCCACGGCTTAGGTTTTTTGATGCAATTAAAGATGAAGTTGAAGTGCTAGTGGCCAAGTCTTTGGGTTGAGGTGAAGTGTTGGTGGCCAAGTCTTTGGGTTGAGGTGAAGTGCTAATGGCCAAGTCTTTGGGTTAAGGTGAAGTGCTAATGGCCAAGTCTTTGGGTTGAGGTGAAGTGTTGGTGGCCAAGTTTTTGGGTTGAGGTGAAGTGCTAGTGGCCAAGTCTTTGGGCTAAGGTGAAGTGTTATTGGCCAAGTCTTTGGGTTGAGGTGAAGTGTTATTGGCCAAGTCTTTGGGTTGAGGTGAAGTGTTGGTGGCCAAGTCTTTGGGTTGAGGTGAAGTGTTATTGGCAAAGTCTTTGGGTTAAGGTGAAGTGTTGGTGACCAAGTCTTTGGGTTAAGGTGAAGTGCTAATGGCCAAGTCTTTGGGTTGAGGTGAAGTGTTGGTGGCCAAGTTTTTGGGTTGAGGTGAAGTGCTAGTGGCCAAGTCTTTGGGCTAAGGTGAAGTGTTATTGGCCAAGTCTTTGGGTTGAGGTGAAGTGTTATTGGCCAAGTCTTTGGGTTGAGGTGAAGTGTTGGTGGCCAAGTCTTTGGGTTGAGGTGAAGTGTTATTGGCAAAGTCTTTGGGTTAAGGTGAAGTGTTGGTGGCCAAGTCTTTGGGTTCAGGTGAAGTGTTATTGGCCAAGTCTTTGGGTTGAGGTGAAGTGTTGGTGGCCAAGTCTTTGGGTTGAGGTGAAGTGCTAGTGGCCAAGTCTTTGGGTTGAGGTGAAGTGTTGGTGGCCAAGTCTTTGGATTGAGGTGAAGTGTTACTGGCCAAGTCTTTGGGTTAAGGTGAAGTGTTGGTGGCCAAGTCTTTGGGTTAAGGTGAAGTGTTGGTGGCCAAGTCTTTGGGTTAAGGTGAAGTGTTGGTGGCCAAGTCTTTGGGTTATGGTGAAGTGCTAGTGGCCAAGTCTTTGGTTTGAGGTGAAGTGCTAGTGGCCAAGTCTTTGGGTTAAGGTGAAGTGTTGGTGGCCAAGTCTTTGGGTTAAGGTGAAGTGCTAGTGGCCAAGTCTTTGGGTTGAGGTGAAGTGTTGGTGGCCAAGTCTTTGGGTTGAGGTGAAGTGTTATTGGCCAAGTCTTTGGGTTAAGGTGAAGTGTTGGTGGCCAAGTCTTTGGGTTGAGGTGAAGTGTTATTGGCCAAGTCTTTGGGTTGAGGTGAAGTGTTGGTGGCCAAGTCTTTGGGTTAAGGTGAAGTGTTGGTGGCCAAGTCTTTGGGTTGAGGTGAAGTGTTGGTGGCCAAGTCTTTGGGTTGAGGTGAAGTGCTAGTGGCCAAGTCTTTGGGTTAAGGTGAAGTGTTAGTGGCCAAGTCTTTGGGTTAAGGTGAAGTGTTGGTGGCCAAGTCTTTGGGTTCAGGTGAAGTGTTATTGGCCAAGTCTTTGGGTTAAAGTGAAGTGTTGGTGGCCAAGTCTTTGGGTTGAGGTGAAGTGCTAGTGGCCAAGTCTTTGGGTTGAGGTGAAGTGTTGGTGGCCAAGTCTTTGGGTTAAGGTGAGGTGTTAGTGGCCAAGTCTTTGGGTTAAGGTGAAGTGTTGGTGGCCAAGTCTTTGGGTTCAGGTGAAGTGTTATTGGCCAAGTCTTTGGGTTAAAGTGAAGTGTTGGTGGCCAAGTCTTTGGGTTGAGGTGAAGTGCTAGTGGCCAAGTCTTTGGGTTAAGGTGAAGTGCTAGTGGCCAAGTCTTTGGGTTGAGGTGAAGTGCTAGTGGCCAAGTCTTTGGGTTAAGGTGACGTGTTAGTGACCAAGTCTTTGGGTTGATGTGAAGTGTTGGTGGCCAAGTCTTTGGGTTGAGGTGAAGTGTTGGTGGCCAAGTCTTTGGGTTAAGGTGAAGTGTTAGTGGCAAGTCTTTGGGTTGAGGTGAAGTGTTAGTGGCCAAGTCTTTGGGTTGAGGTGAAGTGTTACTGGCCAAGTCTTTGGGTTAAGGTGAAATGTTGGTGGCCAAGTCTTTGGGTTAAGGTGAAGTGTTGGTGGCCAAGTCTTTGGGTTAAGGTGAAGTGTTGGTGGCCAAGTCTTTGGGTTATGGTGAAGTGCTAGTGGCCAAGTCTTTGGTTTGAGGTGAAGTGCTAGTGGCCAAGTCTTTGGGTTAAGGTGAAGTGTTGGTGGCCAAGTCTTTGGGTTGAGGTGAAGTGCTAGTGGCCAAGTCTTTGGGTTGAGGTGAAGTGTTGGTGGCCAAGTCTTTGGGTTGAGGTGAAATGTTACTGGCCAAGTCTTTGGGTTAAGGTGAAGTGTTGGTGGCCAAGTTTTTGGGTTGAGGTGAAGTGCTATAGGCCAAGTCTTTGGCTAAAGCCCCGCTGCCCCAAGGCCGGGCTTTGGGTTAAGGTGAAGTGTTGGTGGCCAAGTTTTTGGGTTGAGGTGAAGTGCTATAGGCCAAGTCTTTGGGTTAAGGTGAAGTGTTATTGGCCAAGTATTTGGGTTAAGGTGAAGTGTTTAAGGGACAGCTGAACCCACCTTCTGTGTAAATGACAATACGAGGGAATACACACAGGAATCCTCCTAAAGAGAAGACAATTCCCGTCTACAAGAAGGAAAGCAGAACAAACTTACTGCAGCCCACTTCATCAGATCGGTCTGGACAGTCGGCCTCCTCATCACACTGGTAACTGGCTGGGATACAGGTCCGGGACTGGACGCAGACAAACTGCTCCGGGGCACACATGTCACTTGGCCCTTTAGTGGCTGCACGGGACACAACGATGCGCTCAGCATTACAACAAAGCGAATCAATGACATTCACTCTCATTATTACTGTACATTACGTGACCTGTAATACACAGAGAAGGGGGGGCACAGGGGAACCCCAAAACACCCGCAGAATAAAGACAAGAAGGGGGGGGGGGGACTCACGGCAGTTTGTCTCATCAGAATTGTCCCCGCAGTCATCGTCGCCGTCACATCGCCAGAGCTTCAGGGCGCAGCGTCCATTCCTACACTTGAACTCGTTGGGCTCGCAGGGAGAGGGGGTTCCTGGAGGGAATAGATGAGGTGAGATTACAGGATTGACAATGCCACGGCGTAAGTGAGTGCCATGCATGGCGGAAGAAGTGCGACTAGGCGCGTTGTTAGTATATCGCACCATTTCCTCATGTCTATGACGGCAGCGAGATCACATCCCGTATTCTGAATCCTATAGAACGGAGCGCGCAGAGCGTTCACCTGATACATGGACCCTGGGAATACTTTAATGTTCACCCCACAAAGAGTTAATGCTGGCGCCATTACCGAGTCCCCCTAACCACTTATAATACCGGAGCCCTGAGGAAGGGGGAGACCATTGAGTCCCAAAGAGCGTTGGCTGGTTCACGTGTTCTTGTTATGACCCCATACCAGTAATATCAGATTTTGGCCTCCTCGCCCTTTGGTTTGGTGCTCCCTCTCTGATGTTGTACAGATGGCTTCCTTAGTATCAAACAAACTACGGACAGTGCTGACACCACCCTCCTCTCGCCACCCCCCGCCCCGAGCCCTATTCACCCCTACAGTAAGAGAACAAACCAGATACCAGGGAGGACGGAGCACTCACCGCAGTTCAGTTCATCGCTTCCATCTTTGCAGTCACGTTCCCCATCGCACAGATAATCGCGAGGTATACACTGCCCATTGGGGCAACGCGCTTCTTCCCTCCGGCATGGCCGTGGCTCATCTATGGGGGGCTTGGGGGTGGGACGCTTGAAGGGTGTGGTGGCAAAATCTGTGGACATTGGAAGGAAACCTAGAAAAACCTCGACAAGCACACAAAGCAATGAAAGGACAAATATTGAATTAGCCAAATATGGCTACGGACGGTAGAACGGCAAGCAGCGGCAAGAGCGGACGGAGGTGACACCGATTCCCCACCATCAAAAGTTCAGGAAATCGAATGTTCTCAATGTGGAACCCCAAACCAACCTGGATGGAGTGTTGAGGGATTCAGGTCCTCCGTCAGGTTTCCGGGGCTCCTTTAAGGAGATTTCCCCTTACTTCCTGTCCATGTGACCATGGATTCAGGAAGTGAGGACGCTTGGTTTGGACTTACACTTGAAAATAATCTGCGTCTGTAGAGGACTCTGATTGGGGGGACACCACAGCTTATGGTGAGAACTAGTTGAAGGATTTGTCCTCAGCCCCGGTACAGCTCCGTGGTGATAAATGGCTGCACCCCCCAATGACGCTATAAATGTGAACCCAACGGATGCGGCAATGTCCCGGATTCCCGGAGAAGTCCAATGCTGGACTGCGATTGGCTGGCCCTGATCTCAGACAGTGGCAGTGTATAAATGTGGGTCATTATAGTCTCTTACCACACTGAAGCTCATCAGACGAGTCCTGGCAATCAGATCGGCCGTCGCAGTAATAGGTTCTGGGGATACACTCGCCGCTGCCGCATGTAAAGTCCGTGTCACCGCAGAGCACACGTTCTAATGGAAGATCACGCAATGCTGGGTTAGTATGTCACCATCTCACATCCAGTACTGGCCTCATGGAGACGGCCAATCACAGATACATGACTTGGGTTATGTGGTGCAATGTACAGGGCAGCAGATTGCAAAGCGCCCACCATATGCCCTCGTTAGCCCGCGAGCTCTGCTCTCTGGGCATCTTCTATGAAACAGCCAACAACCCGCCAAACCCCGAGCTCCCTTCAGTACTCACCGCACCCCTCCTCATCGGACATGTCCCGGCAATCGTGGCGCTGGTCGCATCGGAAGTCCAAGGGGACGCACTCACCGTTGGTGCAGGCAAACTCGTCCACTCTACAGGTGCGCACTGGAGGGGTGACTGAGGAGAGAGACTTGTATTACATTCAGGATCCGGGCACAGATACAGCGAACGGCACGGCATGAAATACCGGGGGGTGCACAGCGACTGTCGCACCACAAGATCCGGACACCGAAGACTCTGGGTAACAATCTCGGGCTCATTTGCTGATATTTGTGGGATTTAAATGCCCCCCCCCGAGCCCAGATTATGGACAATCGGTAAAAGAGCTTTCACACAAGCCGTCACCGACCTCCGTAGTCACTTCTATTATGGAGCAATTCATCCTCGAGGTTCACAGCGGAGGAACTGAAATCCCGGCTCCTCTTATTCTCTGTGGAGGGCAGAACGTTGGCGGCCCACCGGCCCTCTAATGGATACACACACAGCGGGCGATGGAAGCTGTACAGAGACCGACTGGAAACCCACTTCAGAGTCTATATTGAGGATGATTTACTCCAATGTTCCTGCAGCTACAAAGGTCATTGTTGGCGTGTTTCAAATCTTTTTACGGCTTGTTAAGATTTTATATCCTTCGGCCGGGTACAGGCAGGGCCGGATTTACTCTTTCTGCTGCCCCAAGGCCGGGTTCCTCAATTGCCCGAAGCAGGGCTAAATGTAGAGAAAAAAACTACTCGCCCGGCGGCTGTGCTGCCCCTCTACTCCCCGCTGCCCCAAGGCCGGGCCTCGGTGGCCTTGTGGGAAATCCGGCCCCGGGTACAGGTGCACTTTAAGACAATCCCTGACAACAGTTTTCCGCAGTGTATTAAGAGTGCAAGCTCTTCGGCTCTACGACAGCCAATGACGGGGCAGCCAATAGAAAGACGCATCACAAAATGTTCCGCCGGATCAGTTCTCCTCGGGGGTGCTGCTTGCGGTGGGATTTGGTCTGGAGCTCCGCGTGTGAGCACCGCGGGGTACGGCAACCAGTAGGACAATGATACACGCCATGCGGGGAGACACAAAAGAGCTGACAGCGCGGCGGCGGTATGACACCGATCACTGGAGGGTCATGTGACAGGTATGGGATAGTGATCGGTCCTGCAAGGAATCCCTACACATGTCCCATCATCCTCTGAGACGGACCAGCTCCGGCGCTGTCAGGGTGTTCTGGATGTAAAACCACAAAGGTCACCAATCCCAGTCATCTGCTCCACCCGCCCTCAGTACAACCACAACATTCGTCTAATGGGAAGCACAGCAAACCCTTTATTAGCGACACACGCGAGTCCCATGACACTCTCACAGCCGCCAGCAAGAACATCAGACATGTTAGAGGCAGCATGGTGGACGGCTATGGGTCACACACTGGCTGGCACCATGCAGAGTCCGGGGTCACAGCACACCTCAAGCATCTTACCTGGAGGCTCAAACCCAACAGGAGGTGGCGGCGTTTGTGCTACACAGACAGACCATGGGTCAGAGAGAGACAGACAGATCATGGGTCAGAGAGAGACAGACAGATCATGGGTCAGAGAGAGACAGACATACAGACCATGGGTCAGAGAGAGACAGAGAGACCATGGGTCAGAGAGAGACAGAGAGACCGTGGGTCAGAGAGAGACAGTGGGTCAGAGAGAGACAGAGAGACCATGGGTCAGAGAGAGAGACAGACAGATCATGGGTCAGAGAGAGACAGTGGGTCAGAGAGAGACAGAGAGACCATGGGTCAGAGAGAGAGACAGACAGATCATGGGTCAGAGAGAGACAGTGGGTCAGAGAGAGACAGAGAGACCATGGGTCAGAGAGAGAGACAGACAGATCATGGGTCAGAGAGAGACAGTGGGTCAGAGAGAGACAGAGAGACCATGGGTCAGAGAGAGAGACAGACAGATCATGGGATGACTATGGTCCAGATGACTCACCAGCTCCCAGGCGCCGGAACTGGAATCCCTGCGCGGAGGTGACGTAGCTGGCGATGGAGCCGCTCTCTATGACGGAGTACAAGACCTGGCGGATTTGTCCATCGTTGGTGTTACCTTCCGATCCCACATCCAGCTCCACAAACACATCGCCATCTATCAACCTGCAGAGACGGGAGACACAAATGGTGACGCCGAATATCATCACCCGCCTGCCTATGAGATCGATGGGATCGGAGAGATATTATCAATCAATCAATCAATCAATCAATACTTCCAGATGATGGTTTTGCAGCGTCACTCCGCTATCTGCCACGTCCCGGCGCCATCTGCAATACTAAAACTTGGATCAAGGCTTCTGGTGGCTCCATATGTCACCTATCTCCACCTATCTCCACCTATCTCCACCGTCACACAACCCGCCACCATCATCTGGTCAGGACACGGTGTGCTACCAAATGGCCACCACACCAAGGGACCCTTCCCCCGCTCCGTACACAACCCCGGCTCCCTCACACAGAGGATAGACGGAGGACAGGTATGTACACCGTGGCCTGGAAGACTCCATTGGGTCCTCCATTGGGAGGTCTGCTGCCCCCCCCCCCCTGCCACCAGTCCTGAAAATGCTGCTCGGAATTCTTTACTTACTTGACGTATACGACATTAACCATTTGTTCTCCGGGGATTTTATAATATTCGGACTCCAGCTGAAAGTCTGCAGCCCCCCCCCCCTGCCAGCAGTCCTGAAAATGCTGCTCGGAATTCTTTACTTACTTGACGTATACGACATTAACCATTTGTTCTCCGGGGATTTTATAATATTCGGACTCCAGCTGAAATGGAAGAACCAAGGCAGTCAGTTACTATTATTGAGGCACCGACACACACAGAGAGAACACAAAAGGTGATAGCAAGGAGGATGGACAGACCATGGGTCAGAGAGAGACAGAGAGATCATGGGTCAGAGAGAGACAGAGAGACCATGGGTCAGAGAGAGACAGAGAGACCATGGGTCAGAGAGAGAGACCATGGGTCAGAGAGAGACAGAGAGACCATGGGTCAGAGAGAGAGACAGAGAGACCATGGGTCAGAGATAGAGAGAGACAGAGAGACCATGGGTCAGAGAGAGACGGACAGACCATGGGTCAGAGAGAGACCATGGGTCAGAGAGAGACAGAGAGACCATGGGTCAGAGATAGAGAGAGACAGAGAGACCATGGGTCAGAGAGAGACAGAGAGACCATGGGTCAGAGAGAGATCTGGGACATGGGACAGACGTGATCTTACCGTGTCAACGACAGCCTCGGACAGATCCCGGAACTGGTCGGAGGAGACATTGTCCAGGTCCAGCGAGTAGTCTATAGAAGTGGTGAAATTCACTAGAGCTCTGTAATAAACTGGAAGATGGAGGACAACCCATTACCAACCGAAAAACAAAGACACGGGGGAACATACCAACAGCTCCGCCCCAATAATCCCGGGAAATGAGAGCAAGGCACCAACACGAGGGCAGCTCGGGTGATCCCAGTGACGGCCGCACGGGCCGGGCACTCAAACTGGCACAGGTCACCCATTATCAGTGCCAGGGGAACACAACGACCCCGAGCAGACAATACACATCATGACGTGACCACAAAACAAAGTGTAACCGAGAACATGACTGGCCCTCCTCTGCCACTCCAGAACCCATAGTGAGGGGGACCTTCACCTTCTAGTCCCACCACCAGAGGGCGCCATGTACCCAGCATGGAATGACTCACCTCTAGGTCAGCTGAACGATTTTCAGGTACATTTCCTCTGGGGAACATTTTGTATTTTTGAAGATTCCCCAGTTTATCCGAAGCGTCTGTTCACCTCCGTGTCATATAAAGGCCCAAAATACAAAAAGAACTTCACAGGAAAGTCACCCAATCAGCAGGAAATTCACCCAAAAGAAGAAGGATCATTCAACGCGCCCCGGGTAGAAGTGCGTGGCAGGAATGAGCATCTCTGAGCGGGATGAGCTGAGACTTGTAATGGAGTTTAGATAAACATCACGCTAAGGAACAAAGGTGCGAATGGTGGCGCCAGCGTTATGGAGGGGAGACCACATGATGTTCCCTATGTTTACTGTCAGATTCAAAGAACCAGAAATCCCACATCCCTGAAAAACATAACAGCGAGGCCTTCACATCACATCATCCACGATTGTCCTACGGAAGTGATGTGAAATTGGTGACCTCTATGTGGCCTGCAGAGCAGAGGTCAGCTGGAGCCAAGCAACCAATGGGCCTTCAAAGCCTTTAGATGAGTGATGAGTTCTTCCCTTTAGATGTGATGAATGTCCTCATCCAGCTTCTACGAAGAGCAGCCATTAGAGGTATACCATGACCACATCAAGCCGCCCGTAGGTCCCTCATGTATCCCGGGGACACTGTCCTGAATTTTATCCTACAAGAGGCTTGTGATAGAGCCAGGTGTTGCCTGTGTCTGCTATGAGGAGCTGCAGGGAGCCTTGAGGGGTGCAATTGCATCATTCGTGTTGGTGTGAAGACTCTGCATAGCAATGTTGCTGCTTCGTATGAACACCGGGGCTGACTTGGAGGGGCAGGATCACAATACTGACCCACAATAGGTCCAGTATGGGAGGCCATAAATATGAGGCCATTCATACATTGACCTTCAATCATCACTAACAATGAACTACTACTACAGCCGTGATACACATGTGGAGGACGGCCAGAACCGGAGATCATAACTGGACTGAACTCTGAGCAGCATACACCATATGACCAAAGGATTGTGGACCTCTGACCAAAACACCTATATGAGCTTGTTGGACATCCCATTCCAAAACCATGGTCATTAATAAGAAGTTGCCATTTGCAGACATATATGCAGCTTTACCATCCTCCACTCTTTTGGGAAGGTCTCCACAAGAGTTTGGAGGTGTCTCTGTGGGAATCTGCGTCCATCTGTGAGGCTGGATGAGGAGACCCGGCTCACAGTTCATCCCAAAGGTGGTCAGTGGGGTTGAGGTCGGGGCTCTGTGCAGGACACTCAAGTTCCTCCACCACACTGGTCACACCGTGTCTGTATGGAGCTTTGTACACGGGGGACAGTCATGGGGGGGAACAGAAAAGGGTCTTCACCAAACTGTGACCACAAGGCTGGAAGAGCCCAATTGTCTACAATGTCTTTGTATGATGGAGGATGAACATGACCTTCACCGGAGACACCTGAACTCCATCATTCGGGTGGCTTTCCACATACTTATGACTACATAGGAGGTGATGGTCAGGTGTCCTGATACCTATAACCACATAGTAGGTGGTGGTCAGGTGTCCCCATACCTATAACCACATAGTAGATGATGGTCAGGTGTCCCCATACCTATAACCACATAGTAGGTGGTGGTCAGGTGTCCTCATACTTATGACCACATAGTAGGTGACGGTCAGATGTCCCCATACTTATGACCACATAGTAGGTGATGGTCAGGTGACCACATAGTAGGTGACGGTCAGATGTCCCCATACGTATGACCACATAGTAGGTGATGGTCAGGTGTCCTCCTACATCTGGCCATATAGTGTAACAGAGTTCTGGGGTGACTGTGCTTGATCTGGAGGAATAATCCTCGGCATCCACCAAGGCAGATGGAGCGATGATAGAAATGTCGCACTTTCCTGTAGTAACGAGGACTGTGGAGACCATTCCCTGAGAATCATCTGGATTTTGTTGTGTGTTATTATCAGAATTTATGGCCCCGTATGGGATGTGGTGTCGGGGCAGCTGCTCACAAGTCAGATATTCTACAGACCGATGTATGTCTTATTTATTGGAGTCCCCGGAGATGGCAAATTGCGATGATCGCTTCCCACCCGAAACATCTGCTCTCCTTTCCCATCTGCACGTCGGCCCGCAGCCCACAATTCCCACCGAATTCTGAGGGGATGAAAGGCAGAGCCATGGAATGCTGAGCTCCTGATGGTACAGAGGCCCAGGATGAGAACACCGGATTGTGTCCCGTCACTCCTCACCAGCCGCACATCATTTATGAAAGCAGCTGTCAGAAATCAAATCTCTCCGCCGGGAATGCGGCATCAGTGCCAGGATGTACCCCACACAGCTGGACGCAGCTGGGGCAGCCCGGACATTCTACGAGAACAGACGCCAACATAACCAGGAGGCCATCTTCACACCAGTCAGTCTGGGACAAGAGGCTCCAACAAGGATCAGAAGATATTCTAGATGTAGAAATGGCTGCCGGTCTGAGAGAAGAGGAACGCGTTCTAGAGGAGGAGGAACTACAAATCATCACGAGATGGACAATCCGAGGTTCAGGAACTTCCTGGAGGAGAAACACATTCTAGACAAATGACTCCAGACCTCCAAAATGAGGAGCCGGGTCTATGACTACCGGACTAGAACACCCTTCCCGATAAAAATATCCCCGCACATGGATACCGAGTTTATTTACAGGATGACTACTGTACATTGGAGTCCTATTAGCTCATATGTTAATATATCCCGGAACACAAAACCCTTCCCCCGGGCGGTTAGTTCCCTGCACCTTGGTAGCTGCCATCAATGGCCACAGTGTAAACATTGCGTTGTTTATATTTAACTTGAATGTGGTCTGCACCGGACAGTGTAATGGGCAATATGACTGGAGACTGAGATCCACTGATCTCCATAGCAGGCTGTCTGGGCCGAGAACAAGGAAGGAAGGTGTTCCACATACCGGCTTATATGTCTCCAGTGCCATTTGTATACCGCACCGCACTCGTGTAACACCTAGGAGGAGCAGATCACAAACTGCTGAGGGAAGACTCACTCTGCACATGTTCAGCTAAATGAGCACAAGGACGCCATTTTGGATGTCTCTGGATCCAGAGCTGGACGGAATCACACTGGATGGTCGGAGGATGACCTATCACCCCAAACATCCAATGTGATTCCAACCACCCAGCTGGGGATCCAGAGACATCCAAAATGGCGTCCTTGTGCTCCTCATTGTTGGTCTGAAGTTGTGTCGTCCATTATACTGCAGAGTGCAGACTACAGACGGGAAATCACATTCTGTACCACAATCTGAACACAGCAATCGCTGGAGAGGACGGACATGTTCTAGATGTAGACACTGATGATCGGAGAGGATGGACATGTTCTAGATGTAGACACTGATGATCGGAGAGGATGGACATGTTCTAGATGTAGACACTGATGGTTGGAGAGGATGAACATGTTCTAGATGTAGACACTGATGATCGGAGAGGATGGACATGTTCTAGATGTAGACACTGATGATCGGAGAGGACGGACATGTTCTAGATGTAGACACTGATGATCGGAGAGGATGGACATGTTCTAGATGTAGACATTGATGATTGGAGAGGATGGACATGTTCTAGATGTAGACACTGATGATCGGAGAGGATGGACATGTTCTAGATGTAGACATTGATGATCGGAGAGGATGGACATGTTCTAGATGTAGACATTGATGATCGGAGAGGTTGGGCGTGTTCTAGATGTAGACATTGATGATCGGAGAGGATGGACATGTTCTAGATGTAGACATTGATGATCGGAGAGGATGGACATGCTCTAGATGTAGACACTGATGGTTGGAGAGGATGGGCTCTTCCTAGAAATGACTACAAGTGCCAGAGAAGAGATTTGGATCCAGCGATGAGAAGATGGGGACCCTTTCCTGGTGTCGGGACTAATACAGAGAAATGTGAGACTGAGGCCGGAATTCTGGAGAAGAGAAACACGTTCTAGGTGTAGGAATCAGATGCTCAGATCTGGAATATGGAGGAGAGGGACAGACATGACATCCAGGAACCGATGTTCAGATTTCGGGAGATGAAGAAGTTCTAGATATAAATATAGAAGATCTGAGATCACGGAGACGGATCGTCACATCTCCGGACACACAGAGTGTGAATTGTAGACATGGAAAGTTCAGACGTCTGGAGGACAGAGGCCGGTTCCTTCACAAACCTCCCAACTCAGACTTTGGTCTGGAACATGAAAAGGAATCCGAGGCGGCAGCACATAATATAAAGACCCGATTCAACCCCCGACAAGGACTCCTCCTCTCCCTCCTTAACCTCTGACAAGGAGTTCTCCTCTCCCTCCTCAACCCCTGACAAGGAGTCCTCCTCTCCCTCCTCAACCCCCGAGAAGGAATCCTCCTCTCCCTCCTCAACCCCCGACAAGGAGTCCTCCTCTCCCCCCTTAACCCCCGAGAAGGAAGCCTCCTCTCCCTCCTTAACCCCCGACAAGGAATCCTCCTCTCCCTCCTCAACCCCCGACAAGGAGTCCTCCTCTCCCTCCTCAACCCCCGACAAGGAGTCCTCCTCTCCCTCCTCAACCCCCGACAAGGAGTCTCCTCCCACCAGCATCAGCAGACCGAACGTTCTCCACCCATCAGACGACACGACGTTTGGTCAAGCTCATCCTCTGCGACAACTTTGTTTTTTTTCCCGAAGCAATCAGTTAATTCCCGGCATCCCACGGTGACCAATCAGGTTCACCTTTCCCGGCATTAGATGTAGAGGAAGATCCTCCTGATTGGTTGTTGAGGGTTTTGCTCCATAAGCTATGAAATTCCGTAAGCTTGATAGAAACTAAGACCCATGGGGGGGGGGTCAGGAGTGTCATCACTGTGAACATATCAGCACAGGAACTCAGGTTGCTATGGGTTACAGCACATATCGTTAAAGAAATGCCCCTCCAAGCCCAACACGATTGCCCCAGACTACAGTAAGTGCCCCTTGTTAGTTCATAGAGGGCACGGCAGACAATGGATGTGCCCCGCAGTGACGGGGAATTTGGCCTTAGAGGGACAGTCCTCGCTGACTCGGAAAAGTTGCGCACGTTCCACGTGGAGGATAT